GCTGGGGGATGGGCGGGGGAGATGGCGCTCTCGAGCGCCTTTGTTCCCCACCAAACTGAGCTCTGTCGTCCGGGGGCTCAGCAGCTCTCCTTCCCTTTGTCCTCCAGCCTTCCCGCTTTCTGAGCAGAGCTGTTAACTTATGACCTCCCAGACGCTAAGTCGCGCTTGCTGTAGGAACACAGTCCGTCAGGCCCCTCCGCTTTTTGCAAGCCAGACTCGGGGCTCTGCTTGGCCGGCGAGCCGCCCCTCCGCCCCGGCTCCCTCCCGCCAGTCCGTGGAGCGTGCACCGCCTCGCCGCCCTTCCTACCCTCTTCCGTGGGCCTCTCGTCTGCGCTTGGCTCCAGTGACTCCGTTCTGCTAATTCTCTGGCGGTTTTCTGGGTTATTTAGGCAGGTGTAGGTGGAATCTAAGTGATCAGCAGGACGCGTGGTGAGCCCAGCGTCCTCCTACGCCGCCATCTTCCCTCTGACCCTTTAATAATTTTTAACAGAGCCTCGGTACACGAAAGGATCATAGTTGCCTTGTAAATGAATTGATGTTGTAAACTTGTATTTTATAGGAGGTAAAAACTGACAACATGATACCAAAACAGGCTTCTTCTATAGAATGACAACAATTTGATTATAAATCCAACTGGGAAGTATGCTAGTTGATCACTGTTAACTCAGGAGTATTTTAATTTTAATGAGTCAAGATAAAGTATTTTCTTTAATTGATGTCTTTTTTCCTTTTTTCCTTTTGTAGGAAATACAATAGCAGCCATGATAGAAGACAAAGGGCCAAGAGTGACTGACTACTTTGTTGTGGCAGGTCTCACTGACACATCTACTCTTTTAGATCAAGAAATAAATCGTTTAGATACTAAGTCAACTGGGCCTAAAGCTCCAATTACAGATATTGCAGTTATTAACAAATCTGCTGGGGAGACAGTACCTGAAGGTTACACCTGTGTTGAAGCCACTCCATCAGCTCTCCAAGCAAATTTGAATTATGGAAGTCTGAAAAGCCCCGAACTTTTCCTCTGTTATAAGAGAGCAAGAGACAAACCACCCCTTACCGACATTGGGTATGGTGACTTATTTTCTTTTGCTATAGTGAAGGAAATAACATTTATTTAAGGTGCATGGGAATAGAAATTTGAATTTTTTGATAGTTCTATTATTTGTTACTTCAGGATCAAGTTAGTAAGATATTACATATCTCTATCCACGCTTACTGAATTTCTCTGCATTGTACTTGAATCATGAGATCATTTCCTTTCAAAAGCATATTGAAATGAAGGCATTAGAGCCTGAAATGTGATTCCATTTCTGTTGTACTTATCAGATAAGCTTATTAATTAAACATAAAAGAACAAGAAGGTATAATAAAAGATTATATTTTTAAGGAGCTACTTGGGTTACGTGGTGAAGTTTTGTGAAGCCCTGAACTCATTTAACAAAGGAGCATTCCTGTTTTAAAAAATGTAATTGTGTTGTGTGGTTTTAAATGCCAGGAGGGGGGAGGTATTTACCATTTAGAGTGAGTGTAGTGGTTATGAGGTATTAGTATCTAGTCCACAGCCAGGGAAGTACATTCTTTGTAAAAACTTTTATCCCAAAAATGTCTACATTGACTCTTTTGTAAACAAGCTATGTTTTTAGAATACCTATAATACTTGTCATGTATACATGTCATTTATTAAGCTGTTCTGTTTATTACAATTATCCTCAGTTACTTAAAACATACAGGTATTTGAGAACATCTTAGGAAGTGTTTGGGATCAGCTTGTCCATTTATGCAAAACATGAAGTCAGAATTTTGGTGGGGATTGCATTTAATCTATAGATCAATTTAGGGAGTACTGGCCACTTTTATACCACTAAGCTGTCTAACTTTTGAATGTGAGATCTCTTTCCCTTTATTTAGGTCTTTAATTTCTTTCAGCAGTGTTTTGTAGTTTTTAGTGTAGGAGTCTTTCACCTCCGTGATTAATTTTATTCCTACATATTCTTTTGGGTTCCATTAAAAATGGTATTTTTTGGGGCGCCTGGGTGGCGCAGTCGGTTAAGCATCCGACTTCAGCCAGCTCACGATCTCGCGGTCCGTGAGTTCGAGCCCCGCGTCGGGCTCTGGGCTGATGGCTCGGAGCCTGGAGCCTGTTTCCGATTCTGTGTCTCCCTCTCTCTCTGCCCCTCCCCCGTTCATGCTCTGTCTCTCTCTGTCCCAAAAATAAAT